TGATTTTGGAGAAAGTTCCATAAGGTGCACCCAACTTCATAACAACAGTACTACAGGACTTTAAGACCCAGATATATCCCAACTCATTAATAGTAGGGGACTTCAATACCCCACACTCTCCATTAGATAAGTCAACAGGGCAGAGAATTAACACAGAGACATCTGAATTAAACAATACCATATATCAAATGGACTTAACATATATTTACCGAGTATTCCACCCAAGCACCAAAGGACATACTTTCTACTTAGCACCCCATGGAACCTTCTCCAACATCCCAACTCATTAATAGTAGGGGACTTCAATACCCCACACTCTCCATTAGATAAGTCAACAGGGCAGAGAATTAACACAGAGACATCTGAATTAAACAATACCATATATCAAATGGACTTAACATATATTTACCGAGTATTCCACCCAAGCACCAAAGGACATACTTTCTACTTAGCACCCCATGGAACCTTCTCCAACATCGACCAGCAATGGTACACACACTCACACCATAACATGCACCCCCTCCCAAACACAAGTCACTTAAGAATCTCCGGAATCCTAAGAGAGAACACAGAATGTGTCTAACTGCATTATCACTAATTGAAACACCCTGAGAGCATGAGATGAGAAAGACACTGACCTAAGTACTCCACAATGAAATGAATGGGCAGAACTGAGGGCTAGGCCCAGGCACATGGCTCCCAGGGTAGAGACACTTGTCACCAAGCCTGACAAGCTGAGTTCCATGCTCAGAATTCAGAGGATGGAAGAAGAGAACCAGATGTTCTCCTCTGACCTCCGCATTGGACACCCACACTTATGCACAGAGAGAGAGAGAGAGAGAGAGAGAGAGAGAGAGAGAGGAAAAGAGGGCCAAGCTTGAGCTTATAGAGGAATAGGCACATCTGTTCAGGCTTGCCTGCCACCTACCCACCTCACAACAGACTTTCAGCTGGACACGTGCACACATTATCATGTGGCAGGCAAGAGTTTTCAGCCCATTCTGCACATGGGAAAAATTCATCCCAAAGATATTCCGTGGTTGGTCCAGTCAGGTAGCAAAACCAGATCAGGATTCAGATCTGTGAAGCCCCAGCCTGTCCCCTGTCTCCTTTCCTACCTACAGAGACATGCCTTCAGGGAAGACGAGCTGTCCACACAGTAGGGAATTCTCTCCTAATGACTGTGGCCATCATTACAGAGCACCTTTGAGGGCAGCTCTTCACAGACTCTTACAACCCTTTTAGGAGGAATATCATTACCTCTCTCTGTTTATGAAAAGGGCTTTGAAATTTGGAGTAATCATAAGTCGCTCAAGGTGGTCAAAATGGTTTTGTTTGATTTTCTTTGGACAGTGCTAGGCATCGAACATAGACGCTTGCACACACCAGGTAAAAACTCTACAAATAACCTATGTCCCTAGCACAAAAAGCATGGATGCTTTAGCTCAGGGTGACCCTCAACTCAAAGATCCTCCTGCTTCATCCTTTTCATCATATGCCTACTGGCATGGGCCACCATGGGCAGGATTAAATCCATGTCCCCCACTCCTTCAGCCATTTTCTACCCCTTGCTCTGCTTGGTCATCCACATGTCCAGCCCAGCACCATGAGAACTGCAGGGCCTGTCCCTCAGGTACTCACCCACAACCTCCAGCCTGTCCCTCAGGTACTCACCCACAACCTCCAGCCTGTCCCTCAGGTACTCACCCACAACCTCCAGCCTGTCCCTCAGGTACTCACCCACAACCTCCAGCCTGTCCCTCAGGTACTCACCCACAACCTCCAGCCTGTCCCTCAGGTACTCACCCACAACCTCCAGCCTGTCCCTCAGGTACTCACCCACAACCTCCAGCCTGTCCCTCAGGTACTCACCCACAACCTCCAGCCTGTCCCTCAGGTACTCACCCACAACCTCTAGCCTGGTCTTTCCTTCTGCCTTTTCAGGGGTGACCACCAACTTGCATCGGTATTCTCCTGCCTCCCACAGTTGGACCCCAGGCAGCTGGAGGGAGGCGTCGCCCCTCTCCAGCCCCAACCTTGACACCATGGCTCCAGGTCGTAACGCCTTTAGGTGATTTCCATAAAGCTCAAACACTGTGACCTCAGATTCATTCTTCTGAAACCAGAGGATTCCCATAGTCTTGGTGTCCAGGTGTGGGGAACCAGGGACTTTGCAGGGTATGATGACGTTGTCATTCCGGGATACCAGCTGTGTCCCCTCTGCCATCTCCACTTCCAGAGCACCTGCGGCATTAACAGAGCTCAGTTACGGGAGGCTCTTGGTACTCAGTCACTACTGTGTCATAAATAGCCCTTGGGCTGGGAGAAGATCAGGAAGGAGGCTCTAACTTTACAGTCCCCGGTTAACCCACATAGATTTCCCCCATGTTATTTTTCCTTTTCATGATTGTGTTGGCTGTTAGAGGGCTCCCACAACTAACTCAATATGCATTTTAGAACCAGCTTATCAATTTCTACATAGAAGTCAGGCTGAGAGATTCAGACAGAAAATATATTGATGCCTATAGATCAATTGGGGAATGTTGCCATCTTAAGAATGTTACATTGTCAATTTATTAACATGTTACATAGATGTGCTGTTGACCAAATGTCTGGACCCTCCCCAAATTTTTATGCTGAGGCCAAACTCCCACTGATACAGCATTTGGAAGTAGGGGCTTTGGGAGATGATGACGTCATGAGGTGGCAACCCTCTGAACTGATTAGAGCCTGTGTATGTTGACCACATTGAGGCTGAACCGCCACTGGTCAGCTCTGGGTCGTGATCATGTCAAGGGGTTTCAGCCTTCTAGATGGCATTAGAGCCTATATTTGAGAAGAGAGAGATCTCTCCTATTCTGCCATGAAGACACATCATGAATTTACTCTAGAAGCTTAACCAACTGGCCCTTCATCTTAGGCTCCCAAGCTGGAGAACTAAAACCACTGCAATGTCATCATGAGGTAAAAGCAGTCCCTCCTGGTCTCATAAAAACGTCAGTAATGGCGCCTGGATGAGACCCTGGTGGTGTTGCCCTCCTCCAACTCATCCCCTCAGCTCCAGCATCACGGGCGAAGGAGCGAGGCAGCAATGCAGATGCCACCAAGGCGGACTCCACACAGCAGCCCTTCAGTGCGCAGCTGTGAATCAGTCAGTGGATCTGCACTTTCTACAAGAGTGCTCCCAGTCCAGGTGAAGTACGGTGTGGCATACACAACCACAGCACTGTGAGGCCCCATCAGAGCTCACCAGGGATGACTGGCGCCATGGTAACCTCCCCTCCTCCCATCCATCCACCTCCTACCTGCAGTGGACATGCACCATAGCAGCAGCAGCAGCAGCCACAGCAAATTCCAAGCCATGCAGCCATCCTGATGCGTTCCCTTCCACCCCTCAGCTCTGATTTGGACAGGCTCACTCTGCCCTCCACATTTCCTGGCAGTGCGGAGGGTGTAGCCAGTGAGCTTCCGGAGCCCTACTGCACAATAGCCAGACAGTGGAGTGGCACGGCCCACCGCAGTGCATTTGCACTTTCTCCGGATCCTTCTGGCATCTCGGAAAAGTCCACTTGCCATGCGCAGCTGCACTGGCAATTCCATGTGGCCAGCAGTGCAGCTGAGGAGGGTCCTCAGGGCCCGGGGTTGGGGGCACCACAGGTGCACCTGTGTCCTGGACGTCTGCCACACAAAACATGTTCAGGATGAGTAAACAAAGCAAAGTCAGACAGTTTCTCAGGTGAAAGGCAAGAAGTTCTTAAGAATAATTGCCCGGGTTCACCCAGATGCCTCGGCACTGTGTGACTGGCCCCTTCGAAGCTATTTATTCAGCAATTGAGTACACATTGGAAGATGGGCCGCTCTATGCCTCGGTCTTATCCACAGTATACTGTCCTGGAGGAGGACTTAGCTTACTTGGTAGTGTGTTTGCCTAGCATGCAGGAAGCCCTGGAAGGTTCTAAGGCTTTACCCAGTTTTCTATAGTGTGGTGATATGTGCCTTTAATCCTACAACTAAGGAGGTAAAAGCAGGAGGATCAGGAGTTCATGGTCATCCACAAATACATAGCAAGTTCTAGGCCAAAAAGACAAAAAAAAAAAAAAAAAAAAAAAAAAAAAAAAAAAAAAAAAAAACTTTTTACTAAATAGGCTAAGAGCCTCATGAGTTTGAGCCCATGGAGACTTACACTGGCCAAACAGCCAGCCAGCACCAGAAAGACAACTCACTCTAAGACATTCACCAGCAAAATAATGAGATGACCCTTACCCTTCAGAATTGGGTCCCACCCAGATGTCCAACCTGGTGAGGTTTGGGATTCTTCTCCAGGAGCTCAGCCACAGCAGCCTGTGCAGTGTCTTAGAAAATCTTCTCTCCCAGTCCTTCCTCTCCATCCTCTAATCTTCCTCTCTTCCTTTTCTCCTCCTCTCTCCTCTTCCTCCCCTCTACTCCGTCTCTCTCCCTCCCTCTCTCTCTCTCTCTCTCTCTCTCTCTCTCTCTCTCTCTCTCTCTCTCTGCCTTCCTCTGTGTCTCACTTTTTCTACTTAAGCAAGACTAAGCCATTTATTCCTCCCAAAAATCGAGTAAAGTCTTGCTACAGGGTGATCTGTACAAGGCACTGCAGTTGTGACTCAGAGTGAGAGGGCAGAGGGAGGAAAGAGTGCCTGGTAGTCCATCCCCCTCCTCCGACTCGCCTTTGGTAGGGCCCAGGCAGGGAGAACTAGGATGACGGGTACAACTAGGCGTGGGAAGGTCAGAAGACCCTCCTGCCGCTCCGCCAGCAGCGCGCAGCCTTCCAGGTGCCCAGCCCTGCGGGCGCGCCACAGCCTGAGGCGCCTGCTCTCCCCATCCTGGCTCCACCCCGCTTGTTTAGCTTTTTTCTTTTTCTTTTCTCTTTTTTTTTTTTTTTTGTGACAAGGTCTCAAACTCATTATGCAGCCACGGATGATCTTCAGTTCCTGATCCTAGGAATGCGCGCGCGCGCGCGCAAGCTCTCGCTCTCGCTCGCTGGCTCTCCCCCTCTCAAGCTCTCTTGCTCTGGGTCTCTGTCACTCTCTCTCTCTTCCCTCTTCTCTCTCTCTCTCTCTGGCTCGCTCGCTCGCTCTCCCGCTCTCATGCTCCCTCTCTAGCTCGCTCCCTAGCTCGCTCTCTCACTCTCGTTCTCTCTCGCTCTAGCGGCTTTAAATCTGCAGTTGCCTAGTTGTTCTTCGGTAACCTCCTTTGCAGACCACCTGACATCCCCACAAAGGCAACAAAAGGCTGAACTAAAGAAAACTTACCCAGCTCACAGCAAACCTGCACTGCGGACTTCTGGCTTCTTCCCTCTGGACTCGTGCGGCAAAGGTGCGCTCCGGGATCTTCCCAGCATTTGCCAACTCTGTCCGCCCGTTCACCGGGGCGCCCGGAAATCTCAAGGTGCCGATCCGATCAGCAGTCATCGGGCTAGGGCGGATTCCGGCCGGTCACTGGCAGCAGAGACGAGGGAGGAGGGTGGCCCCGCCGCGCCCCGCCCCGCCCTGCTGGTCGACCACAGAGCAGGCAGGATGGCCTGCTACCCCCACACCACCCCACGGCCAGTCAACGAGGGAGGAAGGTGGCTGCCCCGCTCGGCCCTAGCCATGCCACGCACCCCTGCTTCCGGTATTCTTCCCCACTTCCCCCGCCCCCCCCTGCCCCTTTCCTCTGGAGGCTAGGGTCTCGCGGTTTCACACTTTTCTCTTTCCTTTCTCAGGCCTCACGGTCCGCTGTGCACCGGCCGACCAGGGCACTCACTGCAGCCGTGGATGACACAGTCCTCTGCCTCCCTGGAGCTATGCCCTGGGCTTTAAATCTCCCTGTTCCGACAGTTCCTCCTGCTCAGCTCCTTTCCCTTTCTTTCGCCACCGTCCGTGCGGGAAAAGGGGGAAAGCTAACAATAATACATACTGATCAGTTAAACTTAAAAACGAAGGGGAGGGCGCAAAGTTAAAGCAAAGCTTCACCCTGCGTCTTCTAGAGTTTTCCCTCCAGCGGGAACAAGTCCCCAAGCAGGTGGTTCCCATCCTGCCGCGTCGGTTTCCAGCTCAGAATCCACATGAGGTCTACAGGGATGTGCTTTTCAGGCTGACTTACCCCGGAGGCCCGAATCTGCCCGCCCTGTCAAATGTCCTGGGGGCATCTAGCAACTTCAAGGTGCAGAAACTCCAAGCCTTACAGCTGCTCGGATTTCCTGCTACCCAGCCAGCAGCTGGGACTTGGCACCTCCTTGGACCCTGCCTCTGACTCCTATGGACGTGGACTGGCCGCTTCCAAGCTCTCAGACCAGCCTCTCCTTCCCTTCACGCCTGAGCTGAGCTGAGACAAGAATTTAACTTAGGCTGTTGAGAGTAACGACTGGAGTTGGAAACCCAGCCTTGGCCTGACAAGCCTGGACTGCAGTCACAAATTACAGAAATCCAGGAGGCCAAAACCGCGCCACTGTGTCCCTTCACACTACTAGAGGCCAGAGCTCTGAGTCTGACAGTCAGCGGGCCAGGAGATCTACCGATTCAGATCCCTTCCTTTTCATAGTCTTCTGCTGATCCCTGCTTCATGGGAAGGCTCTAGGAAGGCTCTACCTGGTCTCTCCCGGCTGGGGGATGCTCCAGGCCTCCTGGACTGCTGGCTGCACCCTCCAGCCCCTACCTCCATCGCATCTCTGTATCCTCCCACCTACCTCCCTCTGTTTACCTCTGGTAAAGACATTTGTCATTGGAAATGGGTCCACCCGCCATTCAGGAAGACCTCATCCGGGGATCCTTTATTTAATCACATCTGCAAAGACCCTGTATCACATCAGGCCACGTTCCCAGATGCCACATTTGTGGATTCTCTATTCTGCCCAAAGAGTGTTGTCTCCCTGTGAGGCCGGCCTAAATCCCTACCTTTCTTTATAGAACTTACTGTGTTCTAGGTCTGGTCCCTCAGAGACCAGGGCTGTGTGTGGCCCTGGAGACCTGGGCAGGAGTTGAGGGAACTAGTGATTTGCTGAAGTGCTGACTCACTCAACTTTCTTACCAGATCTCTGAATTATGTCCAGGTTCCTGAGGGAAGGGGGAAAGGACACAACAGGGAACACAAAACGGCTTCCTGTCTTCCCACCTCATCTGTTGTGTGGACCTCCGCTGAGAAGCAGGAGGTAGAAAGGGACAGTGCACGGTCCTCTTGTGACCATACATTTACCAAGGGTGCCACCCTTCAAGATGGAGAGCTGTAATAACTTTGGTTGAAAACTGATCAGATTTGATAATAAAGGCGTTAGGTAAGACAGAGTAAGAAATGAATCTCAGTCTCTGGACATGGAAGCCAGGCATCAGGCTCTCTAACCTCTACAGTAAGAGCCAGGTGCAGACAAGCTTTCCTGGAAACCAATGCCTTGGCACTTCCGGGGATGGATGATGGCCCTAGGACACCTTCTTTCCCTGGAACAAGTCCTCCAAGGCCCGTAGACTCTATAAACATCAAGGTGAAAGGTTTGAAAACTAGAAAATTATAAGGTGCTGGAGACAAAGCTTAGTGGTAGAGCCCTTGCATCACATGTTCAAGGCTCAATATTTAAAAAAAGAGGGGGGGGGGGCTGGAGAGATGGCTCAGCAGTCAAGAACAATGTTCTTGCAGAAGACCCTGGTTCAAATCTCAGCACCCACATGGCAGCTAACAACTGTCCTTAACTGCAGTTCCAGGGGATCTGACAGCTTCTTCTGTCCTCCGCGGGCATTGCACGGCATGGGTGCACTCACATACATGCATACACATAAAATAAAAATAATAAATGAAAATTAAAGAAAAAAGACAGGCATGGTGGTGCACGCCTTTAATCCCAGCACTTGGACGGCAGAGACAGGCAGATCTCTGAGAATTCCAGGCCAGCATGGGCTACATAGCCAGTTCCAGGATACCTGGGATTACAGGGAGACCGTCTCAAAAACACCAATAAATAAATAAATAAATAAATAAATAAATAAATAAATATTTAAAAAAGAAAGAAAAGAAAATGTTGGCCGGAGAGATGGCTCAGCAGTTAAAAAAAGAAAATGACAACAAATGTTATGCACACACCTGACTTTAATACACTTTAAAATGAACAAACACTGACTAGAACAACAGTTTCCAACAGGTACTATACTACAATTATATATTCATACAAAGAGCGTAACAAGTTTTATAAGCATACCCCCTTGTACCCAATCCCCCAAACTTTAGGTTTTGTTATAGTGACAGAATATCTGAATATAGAGGATGTCACATTCTCTCTCTCTCTCTCTCTCTCTCTCGCTCGCTCGCTCGCTCATTTGCTCTGGCTCTCACTCTCTACCCCCTTCCTACAAAACAATTTCAAGTATAAAAGTATAAAATTACATTTCAAGTTTCCATCTTTAGGCCAAATTTCTCCATTTCCTACCTTGTATTGTGACCAAGTCAGGTAACAAAAAGAGGTAAATTTCTTTCCTATATGCCTTCTGCTTTAAATTGGCCTTGATTACATAAAATGCAGCCTAAAGCAAGTTCTCAGTAATGGAATTTTGATTTCCCATAGCTTTGCGTTGTCCCTGTTGTACAGGACAGCTTCAGTTGTCAACTTGACACACCTAGGGGAAGGGAACCTCAGTTAAACAATTTCCTCCTTTGGACTGACCTGTAGCCATGTCTGTGGTACATTTCTTGATTGTTGAGTGATGTGGAAGTGCCCAGCCTATTGTGAGTGGGGCCACCCCGGGGCAGGAGGCCTGTGTTATATGAGAAAGTAGGCTGAGCACAGGCCAGGGGAGCAGGCCAGCAAGCAATGTTCCTCCGTGGGCTGTGCGTCCTCCTGCCCTGAGCTCCTGCCCTGGTTTTCCTCAATGGTAAACTCTAAGAGTAAGATGAAATAAGCCCTTTCCTCCCCAGTTGGTTCTGGTCAGTATTTTCGTCACAGCAACAGAAAGTAACGAATACAGAAGTTGATACCAGGATCCTAGGGTATTGCTGTGAGGCCGACCTGACCATGTTGTATGGGATGGATTGCGGAAGCATTTGGAACTTTGGGCTAGAAAAGCAAGTGAGTGCTCAGAGCTTAGTGAGCTGTTGCTGTGGAGCTTATGACAGTTATGCTGAAAGAGCTGTAGATGATGGAGCTTGGCTCGTGAAGCTTCAAAGGGAATCAAGAGTTTTTGGAATTAAGAAATAAGGGAATGAGGGAATTAAGGATTTTTGGACGTGAATTTGGAAGAATTTTTCTGGTTTTAGGGGGACGATTGATACTGGTTAGCTGGGGTGGAAAATCAGATGTAACAAGAGACAAACATCACTGAAGTGAAATCTTCTGGGAAGTATTTCCTTGGCGTCAACAACAGAAGTCATGGTCCAGAGGGCGCCCAAGGCTCTATCTCAAGGGCAAGGAGGAAATGGTAAGGTGTAAGAGTCTCCTACATGGTAGTGGTTTTGAAGGCATGAAGGGGTCATGGAGAGGATCTGAAACTTTGCACCATGAGAGGCCAGAAGAGCCCATGAAGGGGCAGCCTCTCTTACATTGGAGACACCAGGAACATGGTCAATCGCCAAGGGCAGTAGCAGGTGTGGAATGGAACCGGCCTGAGCCCATGAGACAAGCTGCATGTGCTGTGAACGGCAGAGCCAGAGAAGTGGAGATGTCCAAGTCCGTTGGAGTAGAAGATTGTGAATGAATCCCAATGTCCAGCTTTGAGTTACCTGGTTGGACTTTGGTTTTGCTTAAGTATACCTGATTCTTCCATTTTGAAATAAGACAGTGTTTAACTTGTTTTGGATTATATAGGACCCCTTTTTTTTTTTTTTTGAGACAGGGTCTCCCTGTAGGTCCAGCTGTCCCAGAACTCACTATGTAGACCAGGCTGGCCTTGAACTCACAGAGATCTGCCTGCCTCTGCCTCCGAGTGCTGGGAATAAAGGTGTGCGCCACCATGCCCGGCTTAAAGAAAACTTTTACCTTTTAAAGTGTGAGAATTTTTAAAAATATATTTAGTATTTTGGTTATTTTTATTTTATGTGTCTGTGTGTATTACCTGATGTGTGGAAGTGCACTTGTGTCATGCAATGACCGAGGAGGTCAGAAGAGGGCATCAGATCCCCTAGAACTGGAGTTTAAAAGTTGTTAGCTGCCATGTGAGGGTAGGATCAGAACCCAGGTCCACTGCAAGAACATTGTTTTCTTAACCAGATCCATCTCTCCAGCCCCAAAGTCTTTGAACTTTTAAGGACTCTGGGACTTTTAAAATTATACTGTTTTATGTTGTAATATTAACATGAGACCATGGGGATAAAGGAAATGGAAAGGTTGTGGTTTAATAGCAATTTGGGAAGGGATCTGAAACTGAGGATTTTCCTTCATTGGATTGGCCTCTCACCATGACTGTGGGGAATTTTCTTGAATTTTCAGTGATATGGAAGGGCCCAGCCTATTGTGGGTGGTGCCACCCCTGGGCAGGTGGCCCTGCACTGTATAAGAAAGCAGGCAGAGCACAGGACAGGGGAGCAGCCTGTAAGCAGCATTCCTCCATGGTCTGTGCTACAGTTTCTGCCCTGTGCTTCTGCCCTAGTTTTCCTCAATGATGATCAGTAAGCGTAAGATGAAATAAACCCTTTGCTCCACAAATTGGTTTTAGTCTGTGTTTTATCACAGCAATAGAAAGTAACTGATACACTTGTGTTTGCTCGTGCATCTAAAACAAAGAAGAGAAAAACACAGAACAGACTCTGGATACTCCCTACATTTTTGAGCTCCCCACCTGAATCAGGCTCCATGAGGCCTCCAATGAATGGCCATTTCCATTGTGTTTAGAATCTCAAATGGACTGTTTGGGGGACTAGTTCTCTCAGTTCACACTCCGAAGTCAATTCTTACCACCGTGTCTTAGGCTTTTCCTGCATTGTTAGAAATTTGGGGTCAAACACTGAGAAACCAACCTTTATGTGTGCCTTCCAGATGGAGTCTATAAAATAGTTTCTAACCCAGAGACGGTGTGTTTTGCTCGGCTTTCCTATGAGATCCATATGGTGGGTGTTCCCTCCTGAACTCTGAATCCTGGAGGGCTAGAAGGAACAGATGTGTTCTTGTCTTTGGGATCTTTAAGATCATGGGTTCATAGTGTGTGGGAATGCATAGGTATGCGCTGTTTATGGTATCAAGTCCCCTGCATGTCACTAGAGACTTGTTTCACCTCAATGGGTCTTGGACTGCTAGCCTGGAGGCAGTAAAGAATGGCTTAGGAATCACAGGTAGACCTCAGCTTAGTGATTCTTGGAAATGACCCCTTATAATAAAAATAAAAAAAAAAAAAAAAACCCTCCCTGGAGACCTGCCTAGTGCCCAATTGGACCAGGAAGAGGTATGGATGACTCTAAGGAGATTGTTCCTTCAGGAGTCAGGATGCTCATTAAACACAAGGTGTTTTTCTGCCCAGAAAACAGCAGCAAGGAAACCAAAGTAACGTGGAAGCTAAGGGGGGCAGAGCAGCCGGAAGGGAATGGAGGATCCACCGACAAGGCCCCACAGTCCCTGATGAGACCAGAGAGGATGTCTGTGAGGGTGGGAGGGAAGACAGCCCTCTTAACCGTTTAGAGACCTTGACAATTCTTGACTTACCAACAGAAAACCCAGATTCTTCTCTGAAGGAAAGCATTTCAAGACGAACCAGGATGAAGAATAGTTGAAATTTATTAAAAGCAAATTTAACATACACTTTCAGCACTAGGGCAAAGAGAAAGGTACTTGAAGAGAAAGTGAGAAAAACCCTAGCGTTCTTTTGTGAGTGTCAGAAAGGAAACTCCCACCACTGGCTTTGAATAGTTAAACACAGACTTTAAAAAAAAAAAAAAAAAAAAAAAAAAAAACACCAGGATTTCACTGTGTAGACCTGACTGGCCTGGAACTCACTGTAGCCAGTAAATAATAGAGATCTACCTGCTTCTGCCTTCAGAGGGAGAGATGGATTAAAGGTATGCCCCTACTAAGTATGGTTTATATACATAAATTTGATGATTTTTCAAATTACTAAGAGTTGCTAAGAAATGCCGATGATCACCCTGTGATCATAAGGTGGCTTCCGAGGTCTACCTGAGAGGATCACTGCTAATACAGGACAACTCTACCTCACAGAGTTACAGGAAGTTCGAACATTTCCACTGTAAACAAAGCTATCCTTATTTGGGAGGTGTGAAAAACCATCAGGGAGAGGAGGGAGCATCACCTGAGGTCCAGTACACACAGTCCTTCTCCCTGGTGGGCTGCAGCTTTAACAATCTGGAAAGAGTATCATCCTCATGTGAGGAACCTTCACAGAAAATGTGAATTGTGCTGGAATTTTGGATTTTCTGCTGGTGACAGGCTTCAAGCAGACTCCTGGGGGGGGGGTCCTTCCCTCCCCAGGTCCACATAACCTTCCCTGGTTTTCTATCCTGCCTCAGATGGCACGATTGCCAATTCTACTTTGGAGGACACTACACCCTGGGAGGCTTATACATGACACCAGGAACATGAATACACTTAGCAACAATTAGCACCATTACACAGAAATCTGATTTTTTAATTTACCATCTACTTCTGAAAATAGCTTAAAATCTTTGGTCAGGAGTCAAAAAATCTACACTCTTACCATTTTAGCATGCTGACCACAAACGGACCCATTCTCTGAGGTAAAGTACATCTCGTATATACAATATCAAAACATTTGTGTCTTAGAGACACACGGAGGTAGAGGAGAACGACACACAGAGGATGGTCTAAACGGTCTTTATCTCAATGCTACTAATTAAAGATAGAAACGCTAAAAGAACATCATTGCTCATTATGGATTTTTGTATAAAGGAGCACAGTAGGCATGCTTGACTCCCCTAAGATTTCACATAATTTATAATGCACAGATATGCAGTACTACACATTTCTACAGACAGATGCATTAGATATTAAGTGTACTTAAAAGACTTTTAGCCAGGCATGGTGGTACAGGCTTTAATCCTAGCACCAGGAAGACAGATGCAGGCAGATCTCTGAGTTTGAGACGAGTGTGGTCTACACAGGGATTACTTGCCTGTCAGGGCTACAAAGTGGGAAAAAAAAACACAAAACCAAACCATTTCAGTAGTTGCTTGTAAAGTACACGTTTAAAATCTGCTCACATGAAGTTTCCTGGCGGGTGGTTAAGGGTCTCTGATGTGTGCGAAAATACCATCCGTCAACAAGGACCCTGATCCCGGCCCTTCCTATTTGGGTTTCTTCTCTTCACATACTGCTGTACTAAAGACGGCCAGCATTTCATCAGGGAGAGAGAAAAGTCAGACCTTTCTGTTGTCCCTGAGGTTAAGAGAAATACCGAATCTTATCCTGTTTAATGTAATATTGACCGTAGGTTTGACATATACAGTCTTTAATATGGTGAAATATGTTCTATTTCAAGATTCTTTTTTCTTTAATGAAAAAAGTTTATTCAAATCCAGGGAAATGTTAAGGTCATTTTGAATTGAATTAAGACACTTCATCAATAAACCACAAGCCATTGATTTATCTCCCAGGAATTTAAATATGTTTCAGTCTTAGAAACAAATTTATACTAATTTATCACAGAAATAGATCTAACTCAAACCAGTAGATATCAAAATACATTTGATCCTATTCCAAGTTTCTTAAGGACTTTTATTATGAAGGGAAGCTGAGACTTTGTGAAAAGCCTTTCTGAATCCGTGGAGATGATCATGTCACTTCTGTCCTTGACTTCATTTAGCTGATATACAGCATTGATTGGTTTGCATTATGCTGAGCCCTCCTTGCATTCCTGGAGTAAAGCCTAATTGATGCTGAAAACTGATCTTTTCAATGTTTCCTTGAATTTGGCTTACAAGTATTTTGTTGCAAAGTTCTGCGTCTGTATTCCCCCAGGAGACTAGACTATCTTCTTTTCTTGTTCTATTTTTATCTGGATTTGGAGTAAGGATAATGATGGCTTTGTGGAAGAATTTGGTAGGGTACCTTCCCTTCTTATGGAATTATTTGAGAAACATTAGTATTCTTCTTTGAAGATTTAGAAGAATTCACCAGTGAATCCATCTGGGTCTAAACACCTCTAAGTCTGGAGACTCTTTATTCCCACATCACAGTCCTTATCAACATCTGCTTAAACTCTTTATGTCATCTTAGTTTAATTTTGGTAGATCATAAGTACCTAGAAATGTACCCATTTATTTTAGATTTCACAGTGTATGGAATATATGTTTTGTGACTGGTAAGTCTTGTGATTGTTTAAATTTCACTGCTACCTGTTGTAATGAACCCCTTAACTTGTCTGATTTTATCAGTTTGGGTCTTTTTGTTAGTTTAGCTAATGGCTTGTTGATCTTATCTTTGCAAAGATCCAAGTCTTTACTTCACTGGCTCTGCACCTTTGTTTTTTTTTTTTCATGTCCATTTCATTGAAGACACTGTCCTCTGCACCTATCATAATGCATGCAACTTTGGGAATAATCAATATTTATCTGTGGAAATAAACATCGGGTCCAGGCTGAGCTACAGGCTTTGGTCCCTTCTGCAGTTAAGACTTCTCACCAGTGATGATCTGTACCTGGACATCAGAACCACCGAAGGGGGGAAAAAAAGACAACCATCATCAGTAGCACAAAAACAACAAAGACAACTTCACAGCAGATTTCTTTTCCCTTCTTTTGTCTTTTTGAGACATGGTCTCGCTCCACCCCGGCTGCCTAGAATTCACTCTATAGACCACGCTGGCCTCGATCGCACAGAGATCTGACTACCTCTGTCTTGAGAGTGCTGGGGAAAAAGGCATGAGCCACCATGCCCCGCCTGGTATACCCAGTTTCTTATTGGATGAGCTCCAGCCAGTAGAGAGGCCCAAGACATTGATCAGTGGTAGATCAGCAGCCCCTTTCCTGTTGACTGACAGGTCCACTTCCCAGAATGCAGTTTCGATGAGCAGTATCAGCTTTTAAAGATGTTGCCTTGTCAGTCAATGAGCAATATTTTATAATTTACAATATTTTTAAAACTTTTATCTTTATTATTTTTAGTTACATGCATGTTTCTGGGTAGGGTGTATGTGTACATGATTGCAAGTGCCTGCAAATACCAGGCGCATCAAATCTCTTTGGAGCTGGGGTTACGGGAAGCTGTGAGAACTTAAGATGGGACCTGGGCACTAAACTCAGATCCCCTGCCAGAACATTAAATACTCTTCTGAGCTAGCTCTCCACCTCAATCTACAACATTTTAAACAACACAATTACACAGGTCTCCTGAGCCTCTAAGCCGCACATGGTTTCACGGTGTGTGCCACAGTTAGAGAGAGTGTTACAAATATTCAGTGAGGGTCAGAAATCTCTGGTCAAACCATGCATAACTTGTGTAAGTAAGTGCATTGAGATTTAACAAAATATGAGTCTTAAGAGAAGGAATTTGACTGTTTGCTGTGGTTTTACTTGTTTGAGAACCATTATATAGTCTCCACATAGTCGAAAGTCAGGGTCTGAAAAATTACAGTCAGGTTCAATGCACAGTGAGAGTTGTATCCTAAGGACAGACAGAGGGAGGCCTCACAACAATGTTACCCAGTCACAAAGCACCACAGGTGGTCAGGTGACAAAGCTCTTCCCCAACACAACACCAGAAAACCACACACAGTAACAGTACAGCACCACTCCCCAGAATCCCACACACCTCCTGCTCACTATGATTCTAACACTTGGAGCCAAGTCCAAGACACAAGGCTGGCTTTGCTTTGGAGTCTCTCACCTGTTTCCATGAAAATAACATGCTGCCATTAAAAAAATTAGAAGAAAGACTAGAATAATCCAGAGAAAGTTTGTCTTCGTAGATTCTGCAGAGAGAGAGAACATTGTGAACAGTTAATATCGTCAACTTCGCAGGATCCAGATCAGCTGGGACGCAATCCTGTGGGCAGACCTGAGACGCATCCTCTAGACTGGGATGAATGGGGTGGGAGACTCACCTTAACTCTGGACGGTACTGTGTCAGGGGCCAGGCACCTGAACCAGAGGAGAGAGTGAGCTGAGCACTCACCTCGCCTGCCTGAAGCTCCTGCCACTGTGACTTCCCTGCCAGGATGGACTGTTCTCAGACTCTGAGCCAAAGCAAACCCTCTCTCCATTAAGTTGCTGTTGTCAGGGTACGTCATCACAGGAACAGGAAGGGGAAGCATGCAGACGCCCAGAGGAAACCAAGGGCCAGGGCCAAAGGCACCACACAGCAGGCGCTAAACTCTACATCTGCCTGGTTGGTAACATTTTCCCTGTCAGATCTACCACCCGTCTCCTGGCATCTGTCTCAGCATCAGCACTCTTACACAGACAGCATCACACATCAGAGAATTTAGCACATTGGAAGTCCATTAAATGCTGCAAAAACCTGCAATCACAGCTCTTGGGGAGGAGAAGGTTTGGGGTCAGAGTGGGGAAGGAGGATCACCAATGTTAGAAAAAAAGTATGCTGGAGCTGCATCTCCATTGGTAGAATAATACCCAGCTTGTACGAAGCCCTGGGTTCAGTCCCAAGCATCTCATAAAACCTGTCTCATGTTATACACCTGGAGTTCCAGCATTTGAGGAGAAGGTTTGGGGTCAGAGTGGGGAAGGAGGATCACCAATGTTAGAAAAAAAGTATGCTGGAGCTGCATCTCCATTGGTAGAATAATACCCAGCTTGTACGAAGCCCTGGGTTCAGTCCCAAGCATCTCATAAAACCTGTCTCATGTTATACACCTGGAGTTCCAGCATTTGGGAGGCAGAAAGATCAGGAATTTTAAGATCATGCTCACCCACATAACGAGGCAGGCTCAAACACCACACACCATGTTCATTAGGATTCTAGACTATTTGATCTTGTATCGTTTATGTCCACCCAGACAAAACTTCCACAATGTACACAAAGTATGTTTCAACCAGACTCCCCTGTACCCCACTCACACCCTGCACACATCACCTACACATACCCTCAGTTTCTATTTTGAAGAACAAGGCTTCCTGGAGGAGCACTGACAGCTCCATCTGGCACATCCAATCTCATCCCCCTGGGCCCTAGGCCAACTCTTCCTACATAGCCTACAGATACATTTGACCTGCATGATCATCTCCACTCACCACCTGAATCACAGGACTGGAGAGATGGCTCAGTGGTTCAGAACACTGGCTATTATTCTAGAGGACTCTGGTTAGGTTCCCATCACCCACATTGCAGCTAACAACTGTCGCTAACTCTAGTTGCAGGGGATCAGATGCCTTCTTCTGGCCTCCATGGCCACTACATGCATATATGTTACTTACATACACGCAGGCAAAACACTCATACACATATTTAAAAAATTAAATTAAAGAGCAGAACCAAAGCTAGACATGCTATGATATGAGCCATAACTAGATATGCCAGGACATGAACTCTGCAGTTGCTATTAGCCTATGGGTCGGGTCTGCCTGTGGGAAGCCCTGGCTGGTGGCAGGTCTACCCTTAGTGGCCATGTCATCTCATCCAGAGCCTGTGGGGCAGAATTGATGATCAAGACACAATTAGCCAATAGTGTCTAGAAGGATCCCTTGTGTCTAAGAACCCCTGTCTTCAGGGGACCTGGGTAAGGACATGCTCCCTCATCCCCAAGTAGCTGGCAAGCTCCCCAGTCCCGGCCTCATGGACCATCCAGAGTCTGAAGCTGCCCTGAGCTGACAAACTGCCCCGATAATACTGTCTCCCCTGTCCGCCTCTGGGACATCATTCCCGCCACAGGCCCTGATTCTAGGTGCCTGACTCTGGGCGCTGAGCTGAGCTGGATTCCAGCTTGTTCCCTCAGCCCAGCCTCTCTCTCCTTCCCCAGTAGCTCATGACAGGGACCCTAGACCTCCAGGAACTCCTGGTTTTCAGTGCATACCCTCCAGATGAAGCCGGGGAGATACACAGGACACTTACTTTCCTCAGACAGTGTGATGTTGAAACTGGTGGGGGTGGGCAGGGATTTGTGCTCCACCACACACTGGTAGGTGGTCCCACTGTCTTCCAGGGAGGACTTCAGTTTCAGCTGGCTGGTAACACTGAATGAACCGTCCTCTCTCTTCGAGGGGAGGCTAGTGTCAACGCCCTCAGTGATCTTTTGGAAATGGGGATCCTTGGGGGTGCGCTTCACCCACTTTATGCTAATGGCTTCTGGGTAGAATCCATCCACCTCGCATAGAATATGTTTCTCACTATCATTTCTCATTGTGGCGTGTCCCTCAGTCAGTGTGATGGTTGGGTGAGCTGCCAGGGAAGAGAAATCACACAATTGGCCAGGCACCAGTCACCCATTTTCCCCTCATAACACACTGACTGGCTTCTACCTCAGCCATACATCTTTGCATCACAGCAACAAGACAGAAAACACAGGATGTTACTCTTTAAAGAGAGACAGTCATCAGGGGCTCAGAGCACAACTCACAGCTTCCTGCTGGACTTAATGAGAGCTTTCTCCAAATCAAACAACAAAACCAAAGCCCTAAAACGCAAACAATAGAAAGCGGCCTGGGGATTTGGCTCATGGGTGGAGTGCCTGCCTAGCATGCTCAGTCTTCAGTTCAGTCTCAGCTCCATACACAAACACCACACGGGCCGGGCTGCAATCAGTCCCCGCAGCACTATGCGCTGGCTGGTGATCACACTTGACTGTGCACAGGGGAGTTTCTCATCTGCCCCTGTGGAAACCACAGCGAGCCTTCAGGAAAGTGAATGACCATCCATAACTCCAGTTCCAGGGGATTCCTCTACCATATTCTGACCCTCGCAGGCTCTGCACAACACGGGTATACTTACACACATGCAAGAAATACACTCGTACACATAAAATAATAATAAATCTTAAAAAAGAAAACCCGGTGTGGCACCGATAAAGCATGGATAACCGAGCAACTGAGGTGACACAAGCCTGCAAGCCCAGCTCCGGGGAGGAAAGCAGGGGCTGCGTGTATTCAAGGCTGTCCTCTGCTAAATAGGGCGCTCAAGCCTAGCATGTCTGAAGAAAACAAAAATAAGCAAACAAATCAATAAATAATACATTGCCAAACTGTGAACCATGAACGAAAAAGCTGGGCAGCAGAACTGATGAAAATTCAGCACCTGTGCTTTGCAAAAGATGTAATTGTTAACAGACAGTAAGACCAGCCACAGACTCTGAGACGTACTTTGGAATCATACATAGAATACAGGACAGTTATCAGGAACGTACACAGGGCTCAGGTACACAGTGAGTTCAAAACCAACACCAATTATACTGAAACCCTGCTTCAGAAAAGGATAGTGGACAGTGATGGCTCAGCAAGTTAACGTGCTTTCTACCAAGCCTGACCACCTGAGTTCAATCCCTGCAACCTTCCTGGGAGGAGGAGAGAACAGACTACTGCAAGGTGTCTTCTGACTGCACATGAATGCTCTGGGGTCCACAAGCCACTGCCTACCCACCACCCACATACATCAAGAGTAAATAAATTTAATATTGAGTTAGGTGTTGGGAGCTATTAATGTAAGCACAGCCATTGTGTCCATTGAGCTGTGGCAGGCTTGCTTATTTACTTTATGACCTTTCATCTTGACTCAAGAGTTTGTGTTTTAAACACAAGCACTGAATTGTCCTGTCAAGTCAAGAGGAATGTGCTGAAAATTTAGGGAAGATGGTTAATTGGTGGAATTCACTACAAGTATTTGACCATTCCTTAACCCTCAGATAAAGATGGTAATAAAGAGCTGTCGAAGCTAATTGAGCTAAGTAAACTGTGCTTATCTGATGTTCTGCTGTATAAGAAGGCTGAGCTGAAATAAACCGGGGCTGCAGTCCCTACTGACAGTCCTCCCAAAGTATCTTTTCTCTCTCTTGTTTTTCTTTCAATCCTCACTCCCCCTTTCAGGTGCTGTTCATCTAAGACCGGCTGGCACTGGCAAGTGGCGCCTTGAACAGGGACCTGAAAAGTAGGGGAGAAAGTGAAGGACACCGCTGGGGAAGTTAAGTGAGTGCACTCAGTAAGATTGGGGAGCGGTGAGTATTTATCTTGGGAGAAGATGGGGCAAGGAAACAGTCGCTTGCCCTTTGTATGCATCTTAAAGAATATGCTTCAGGCCCGAGGAGCAAAAGTGGAACGTAAGCAACTTGTAAATTTTTTAGACTTTGTAGAAAAGGTTTGTCCTTGGTTTCCTGAACAAGGTACAGTGAGTTTAGATGTGTGGCTACAGGTTGGAGAGAAAATGCACGATTACTATGACATGGAGGGTCCTTCCAAAGTTCCCATAGATGCTTTTACATGGTGGACTTTGGTTAGAGATAGTCTTGATCCGCGGCACGAGGCGGAGAAGGCAAAGGAAGAAACAGTCACTGAGACTAAAGAGAAGAATCTGATAAGCGGCGGCTCCCGATAAAAGTGAAACCAAACAAAACCAGAGTAATCTGGGACTAGAAGAGGGATCTCTTAACCCTGAAGATGAGCCTGCCCTAGGAGAGGAGGTGGTTAAGTATGATCAGGAAAAACATCCACCTCGAATTGCTTTGTCTGAGAAGCCTAACTATCACTGGGAAATTGAGCAGTTAAGGGCGGAGTTAGAGGCTTTGAAGAAGGAAATGTTAAATAACAAAGCACCCCAACACCCTCTATTATAGCAGGATTAGATCCTCCTCCTCCTCCGAGGCCAACAAAGGTTGTTGCACCTCCCATGATTGACATGGTTCAGGAGCCCCCGTCAGGAGTTTGGTATCCCCTCAAAACTATGCAACCCCTGCTACAGCAGGCTGTTGGGGCCGCAGTAGAGCAAGGAGAGTCAGTGCATGGATTCCAAGTCTCCCCAGTTTTGGAGCAAGTCGATCAGCAGGGCAACAGGGTGCGGTCTCATGCACCCCGTGCCATTTAAGCAGCTTAAGGAGCTGAGAACTGCTTGTGCTCAGTATGGTCCTACTGCCTCTTTTACCCAGACTTTGTTAGAATCCCTATCCACAGACGCCCTTCCTTCTGGCGATTGGAAGCAGATGGCAAGTGCTTGCCTTTCAGGGGGAGATTATCTGTTGTGAATGTGGAACAGTGCCAGGTGACAGCGAATATCAATAGAGCGCAGAGCTATCAATGGAAAGTCCTACCTCAGGGAATGAAAAGTAGTCCTACTATATGCCAGTTTTATCTACATAAAGTAATTAGTCCAATACTTAAGGAATTCCCTGCTGTTCTCGCTCATTGTATTAATGATATTCTCCTTAGTCACCCTTCTATTCAACTTTTAGAAGTTGTGCTTACTAAATTAACGAATATTTTAACTAAACATGGACTTTATATTTCCTCAGAAAAAGCTCAAAAACATGTGCCTTATACTTATTTGGGATACATCATCATAGATAATCGATTGTACCCTACCCTACCACGGGGGCTGCAGCTCGACAGTTGTCTGGACCCCCTACAGCTTTTTTTCTACTCTGCCTTTGCTAACTAACACACAGTTCCTTCAAAAAGCCAAAAAGCAGGTTTGGCCAAAAACAAAGGCTCTGTTTACCTATAGCCTCCTTACTGTGACTCTTGGTCTATGTGTCTCTTCCCTACTATGAGCTCTATGGTCATCTGGAGATTGTTCTCTAATTCCAGCTGGAGAAATGTCTTAATGGTTAAGAGCATAGTTTGCTCTTCCAAAGGACCTAGGTTTAATTACTAACACCTGAACGTCACTCGTTTTTCCTGTCCCTTCCAATTCTATTCCTCTGTTAGTTTTATTTCATTCAGCTGTTTCTTGCCTTTATTTTAAAAAATGCTGTTTTAAGTTTTTCCACTCACTACAAATTCATTTCCAGGTTTTCTGATAGTTTCTTGATTTCT